GGATCGAGCCCACAACCCGGGCATGTGCCCCAACTGGGAATCGAACCAGGATCTCCTGGATCCTGGGCTGACGTTCAACCGCTGAGCCACACCAGGCCGGGCCATATATTCTTTTGAATTAGTGTTTTGGATTTCTTCAAATAAATCTCCAAAAGTGGAATTGCTGGGTCATAAGGCAGCTCCATTTTTAATTTTTTGAGGGAACTCATACTGTATTCCATGGTAGTTGCGCCAGTCTGCATTCCCACCAACAGCGCACAAGTGTTCCCTCTTCTCCACATCCTCACCGACACTTGTTTGTTGATTTATTGATGATGGCCATGCTGACAGATGTGAGGTGATATCCCATTGTTGTTTTAAGTTGCATTAGTTACACTGAGTATCCTTTCACATGTCTTAATGGCCACCTGTATGTCTTCTTTGGAGAAGTGTCTCTTCTGGTCCTCTGCCCATTTCTTTAATTAGATTGTTTGGTTTTCTTGGTGTCGAATTTTTGAGTTCTTCATACATTTTGGATATTAACCTCTTATCAGATTTATCATTAGCAAATATCTCTAGGAAGTCTGTTTCTCTAACAAATACTTCTAGAATACCAAGTTACATTTAGAAAATCACCCACTTAGTGAAATTTTTTAAAACCCTACAGTCATACAGTTATTTCCCATACTATTGTACATCCATTAACTTTATTAGAGATGTCCTTTATGTCTCTGTTTAGAATTCTTGAAGTCACCTCTATAATTCTACCCTCGTGCTAGGCCAGGACCTTCAGAGACCTCAGAATAAAGGTCCATAATTTACTTCCATTGGAATCATCTGGAAGAGGTATTAAAATGCAGATCCCTAGACCCCACCCCAAATATATGGAATTAGCATGATATTTGTGAGGAGACATGATATTTGTAACAGCCCTGATAGGGCCTTCAAACTGTATCAAGGAGATAATGAATCCAAAGGTTTCCACAACAACTAAGAGCTATGGGCTGATATATCTTCTACTTACATTATCGTTTGGAAACTACTGCCATGAAATTGGTTGAACAAAGAGGAAAGTGTCACCCTGACTAAACCTCCCTCTTATAACAGAAACAGCTTACGACTATTTTATCCTGAAGTACTGTGGCAGTGCAAAACTGCATAGCTTATGTATTTTCACAGAATCAAAGCAAAAATTAGGGAATTTTAAAACGAAGAGAACTTAGAAATTATATCTTGTACAAAATAAGATGAAAAAAATATATACCAAAATATATTAATAACATAAAGACCTGAACAATCACATGTGTTATTCCCATCATTTATTTAAACAAAAGAAGTCTAATATTTAAAACTTCAAATCTTTATTTTTCTTCATGATAAAAATGTTTCTAATGAAAAAGTTTTTATTTTAAGGAGTCATTTTAAATACATGAAATATAAAATTATTGTAGCTTTACAAGTAATTTATTTTTGATCAACACATAAAGATTTATACATCTACAAGTAGAAATACAGTAATATATTTTTAAACAATATCAAAATGTAATTTACAATTTCACATATTGCTTCATAGTTTTCTAAAATTCAATCTCAAAAAATCATTTTAAGGAATATGCTATGATTTTAAAAAAGGAAAAACTTTTTTTCCAAAAAAAGTAGAATATTTTACCTGCATATAATCAATACTCTTGCATGGCACAAGCAGTTAAAATATTAAATGCTTACTTAAAACCACCTTTCAGAATATTTTATTTCTTTTTTCAGTACAGCTTCAAAAATATTTATGGCTGTGTTTAAGTCTTACAGAGACTTAATGTCTCCAATTGAAATAAAGATGTCATATCCAATTTTCACCCTCCCGACTGATAATAATCCTGAGTCATTTCTTAGAACTAGGTCTTCAGGTAATAGACAGGGACAGGCTGTCCCATTTGTACACTTCACAATCTGAGAAACATTTTATAACCATGATATGTGCAAGGACATGTAATTACTCTGATATCTCTTTCAGTGTGTGTCAAGAAGATAATAGATGCACATTTTACACAGAGCACTAATACTTGGGACTATGAGTTGAACAGCATCTCCTCCCTCTTTATTCCACTCCTAGCTTCTAACTTATTCCATCAGAATAAGAGAAATGCTATTGATATCCATATATTTTTAGATGTATCAGAGAATAAGATGGTTATTATGTGATCAGTTTTTTATATCTTTGGTGGATAACTGTACCTTATTTAGAAGAACCATCATTTTGAAAACATCATTTGCAAATGAAATTCAGTTTGCTCCTATGCCAGGTAGGCAATGATAACTGACAGATATTAGGAAGGTTCTCTCTAGACTTGATGAAGATCTACAGCAACGACATGGACCTCAATAAAGTGTGCTTAACTTGGAAAATATTTGTTAAAGTTACAGGTGAAAATCACATTAAAAATCATTTGGAAAAATTAAGTTATCTCGAGTTAATTCTCTCTATTTAGTTCGTCACATTATACTATTAAATATAGCAGCCCCTAACAAATTACATATAGCAGCCCCAAGCAGTTAACTGATTACTGCTTTAATTATTGAATTATGCAAGAGTTTCATGACATGTAATTATATAATTATATTTTTGAAACATCAGGAAAACCCAAGAAGCACCTATTTGTAATCACCAGAATGTGTACATTTGATGAGCACCAAGCTTTGTTCAAGGCGCCACTGAGCCTAATGGCGAATCATCACCTACATGCTCTGCGGCAAAGAAACATAGTGTGCTCTTAGTAGCCATTGAAAGATGCTGTCTTGCATGGAAGGAAATTAAGACTAAAATAATTACTCTCCACTGGGAAAAAAACCTGCAGAACAAGTGAAAACGACAGAGGCCTCCTGAAAATGTTTAGTGGTGCCAATGAAATGGCACGGTTTTAAAAATAGATGATTTGTCTCATTGTAGCAACAGAAAGGTAGCCCACACTATTAGACTGTGACAACTAAAAAGAGGGTGTGCTCCCTTTGTGCACTGAGAGTCACCAGGAGGCACAAAGTTCACAAACAGATACATTTTCAGGTAAGGGAGCAAAATCACAGAAAGAAACTGTCCCTGTCATCGGTTTAGCAACAGAGGTGAGAGATGAAGACATTTGAAGGGAAAATCTATTAGAATTAAAGCGCCTGTGCCCAGCTGAAGCCCTTAATAATGGTAACTGCCCTTTGAATGCTGACAATTCCAGTTACCGCTGTACATGGACATCGGTACCTTACACACCGAAATCCTAGAGAGATCATGGTGCGCACACTCACTTTGTGAATTTGAGATTCCATAAATCACACGGTATCAGCACCAAGTGTCGATCTTCAAGAGTACCCACAAAGGAAGAACAAACTGATATCAATCAGTAACAAACAATGACTCCCTATTTCAAATCTAACTTCTAGTGCCAAGAAATTTATTTTGTTGTTCAAACTAAACTGTTTCTATGGGCCTCCTAAGTCATCTAATAACTTTCCCATCCCTAAAAATATTCTTTTGTGTGTGCGTATGTGTTTCTTTCTAAGAGAAGTGATATTAAGAATTAATCGCCACTTGACTTCAAAAAACAAAAAACCATGAAATAAGTAGCAACAAACTACAGCCTGAGTTGGATCCTATTTTCCGATGACGGGCAAGAGCAATAAGACAATCCGCATTCTCTGACTACTTGTATTACACTAATGACTAAAACCTCTTCTGTGCAGCTCGAACGAGACAGAGTAGCAGCCACATAGCATTATACTTACGTGAAACGGGAGTGGAAGGCAGCAAAGGTGAAGTTGCACCAGAAAACAAGAGTTATCTAAGCATTAACCCAGCATGAAAAGGGAACTACTTCTGGTTTCCTAGAATGCGGCCCTCACGAGTTACGGTTTCTGATTACCGTGGCAGCACACAGCATTTTCCATCTAACCCTTTAGAAGAACGCTTGGTCACACCAGGCTCTGCCTTATTACATGATCTATGTTGAAACCATTCATTTCCACTTCTTTTACTTCTGTAAAATGTCAGAAAGAAGTGATAAGACAATCATGTACCCTCAATTTTCTCAATAATGTAAGGTTTTAGAGAGAGTCTGTTAGAACTCTAAAATAATAGTCCCATATATTTTCTCAATACTCCCTTCCTCCTTTATTTTCACTGGGGGGAAATCTATTTCTGACAGTATCTCCTCTAAAGTTTAGGGGGCTTAAAAGTGTTTCTCTTTCACCTAAAAAATGTTCTCAAACATAGTTATTTTCTGAGTAAATCTCTTTCAAAAGAGAAGTTATACAAAGACTATAAAAACTTTCCCTGAAGTGCTTATAAAGGGTAACATAAAAAGTAGGTATGGGTGGAAGAAGAAATAATGTTTTAAGAGCTGTTTTATAAAAATCAAGTATAAGTGATTTGTACCCTATCAGCTTTTTTCACCCTTCTTCCACACGTGCAAACACACACAGCAAAATAGATTTCAACAACAGGTCTTAAGAAGCAAAGCAGCAATTTACAAAGAAGCAAAATATAAGTCAATCAATCACTGTTTTACAAACAGAGAAAGTAGACCATAGACTTCAACAAGCTATAGGAATCTTCCTCCCCTTACTCGGTGGACTAAAAATTAAAGCAGTGCTTCCAGACCTATAGTAGGTATACTTCACATTTCATTTCCTGAACACTTCCTGTTCAAGCTAGTATAACACAATGAAGAGGCTATGAAACAAATTATACTCCAATCCTAATTTTCACTGCATTAAGATTTTTGCAAAAGAACTACAAAGTTATTGCAATCAACTACTTACATGTGGAAAACAAAACAATGGTATTGATGGGAAGCAAAATCATCTATCTAGAAATACTCCCTAAAACTTACTTTAAGAATACCTTTAGAATGAATATTAAAGTTGATCAAATTTTAGGTGATTTACCTTAAGCATACTATATATTCAACTGCATTTAAAAAAAGTACCTAGAAATCAAAATTATATTTCAAAAAAAAAGAATGTATTCCACACACAAATAAAACCAAAAACCAAACCAGAGTCCATAACAGTGTCTAAAAGCAGATCTTACAGGTTTATTTTGTTTATTTTTTTAAAAAAAGGAACAATGATTAATTCTCCAGTGATGGATCATCCACATCAAATCACCCTCTCTTGGCATCGCCGATGGCTCCCCAAACATCAAAGACAAATTCATCTGGGAACGCAAAGTCTCCAAGAGTTTTGTCAAGTGCCACAGCGAATTCATCTGGATTACCTTTGTCTTTTCCAGCTTCAAATATTGTGGTTGCTATCAAAAATAAATTTTAAAAATTATTGATACATGTGACAGCTTCAGAGGACTGAGAAAAATAGCACCAGAAAAATTACTTTCTAAAAGGAACATGCATAGATATCGCATATTTCTAGTACAAATTAAAACAATGATACTCCCATCACATACCCAGGTAACAAAGATATTTTTAAACAATCTGTCCACCACACCCAGGTTTGTAGCTGCCACCCCTGCCCTCTCGTCCACCGGGGAGTCCCTTCTGTGGGAAGCTCCGGCATTCCTAGGGGCAGAGCAAGGACTCTAGAGAGAAAACCCTGCGGCTAACCGGCCAGGAAACAGGGTCCATCCCTTCCTCCACCTCCCCACTGTCACTAGCTCTCTCAGCCTCCTCTACCAGCCCCACGCTTGGCTCTGATGGCACCTAGTGCTCCTTCCCCAAAGGAGAAAGACAAAGGGTAACAGCTGCAATGAGTCAACCAAGCCAGGGAGAAAGGTAGGAATATATCTTTCTACTCATGGAATCAAGGCAACGTTTTTCTGAGCCCCTTACAAGTTTGAGACAGAAGATGAAGATGGTACCCTTGCTCTGCTTTTCTAGTAAGTTGCCTGGGGAACCCCACCTCCAGGAGTACGCCTTCCCATGGGAACTGCCTCGCCGCCTGGGAGCCCAGGAGGCTCAGCTGGTGTCTTTCTCAGCTCCCTAAAAGCACTGGCGACTAGAAGAGAGATCGTGCGGATGTGATTTGGGACTTGGGTGAAGTACCTCCAGGTAAAAGGGAAACACCAAACCCTAGCCTCTCCTTTCCTCCCAGGTAAGGCTGAACGAAACAGAAGGTTGCATGATTGCTCTGAATGAGCCAAGAGGTCAGGTCCTTCAGTTTAAACCCAATAGGGCTCTGAAGAGCATTTATGACTGTTCCTCACCTCAAACGGCTCAGGACTAACACACACAGCTATGGGGAAGGGGGGGATTTCAAAGAAAGGCACCACAATCAGAGCAGAAGTGGGATGTGGATGGGGTGACCTGCTGCAGAGGTCGAAGCCCTAGTAAGATGAGGCAGACTTCCACAGAGCTGGGTGCCCGGTGTGAGGTTGAGGGTCCAGGCGTTACAGAACAGCGTGGGACTGGGGGAGGGCAGCAGCCGTGCTAATGAGAGATCGGTTGCATACACGGGGACTGATCCCATAAACACACACACACGTAGAATAATAGGAACCAAGTTTGTCACTGTCAAAGAAACATAAATAGGGAAAGGGAGAAAACTAGAATGGAATTGGAATTATAGAGATCAGTGGAGATATATATATATACACAGGTATATATTTCAATAGAGAGATTAAAAATATAAAGGTAAATATATGCACACACATTCCTCAATCCACCTGGGAGCAGTGAGACCCAGAAGCAGNCACAGGTATATATTTCAATAGAGAGATTAAAAATATAAAGGTAAATACATGCACACACATTCCTCAATCCACCTGGGAGCAGTGAGACCCAGAAGCAGTGAACACACAAAGCACCCAGATCTTGGTTCTTACAAATCACTCTCGACTAAGAAGTCTCAGACTGAGCTCCTCGGAGCAATGGCTGACTCCAAGGCTGGAGCAGGCAAAGTACAATATGAACCAAGAACACCTTCTGCCAGGAAGTAAGAAAGTGTCAAAAATTGTTAGAACATGTGAAAAAGGCACAGAGCTCCCAATGACCAATTCAGGGACAATCTGGGCATTAAAATAAATCATATGGTAATAGATTATAATCCCATTGAACAAAACAGGAAACCACGAATCCAAAATGAAATGATTAATTAATTGACTGACTGACAGGCAGCTGGAAGCAAGGAAGGAGGCTGAGTCATGAGGAACAGGAGATTTACATAGTTTCAAAATATCTCCACCAAATATGTATTAATTACAAAGAAAATAACTTTACAGTAGAGATTAGCAAACACCACCTTACACAAGCCATCAATATGAACAATGTCAATAGTAGAACAAATCCAAACCCCATGCCTCCTGGTAACATGTGAGGGAAAGAATATGCATCCCACTTGTGATATTTCTGCCACAGGGGTAACCTGAATGAATTGTGGAGGAAAACAGGCAAACCAAAACTGAGGAACATTCTGTCAAATGACTTGCTTGGATGCTCCAAAAGCCACGAAAATCAAGAGCAGGAAATGGTTGCAAATCAAAGTAACATGGTTTTGAACATGCTCTTTTGCTGTAATGGATATTAAGACATTTGGTGAAACATAAGTAGGATATGAATATTAGATGGTAGTAATGCATCAACGTTAATTTCATGATAATATGAAAGGTTATATTGTGGTTAGGTGAGAGAATAACTTGTTTTTTAATTATTGTTAAATTTACTTTTAATTATGGTTGACACACAATAGTATTTCGTTTCAGATGTACGACATAATGAGTCAGCATTTATATACCTTAAAAAAGTGATCCACCGCCTCCATGCTGTTTCCTTCAAGGCCAAGCCTATTCAGCAAATTGCCCCCATCGGCGCATTAGATTTCTCTTCCTATAGCTCACCTCCGACCCTATTAGGTAACGAAACAAAAGGACCAGGAAGCTCCTGTCCCTCTGAGATGGTCTGTCATTCCCATATAGAAAAATATTCCTTGGGTTGCCAATGCTTCTTTCAGCAACTCTAAACCCTAGTCTGGCATTCTGACCCAAAGCACCCTGGCTCCAAATGGCTGGACTCCTCTGCACTAACGCTACACCCTCATAAAGCTGACCGCCCAGAATGCCATCCTGCTTCCTTCCTGCCTTTGCTCAGGACAACCTCCTCCTAATCGCTAGCTCCACNTGCTACGCCCTCATAAAGCTGACCACCCAGAATGCCATCCTGCTTCCTTCCTGCCTTTGCTCAGGACAACCTCCTCCTAATCGCTAGCTCCACCAGCAACATCTTTTCTCTCCTTCAAGGCTCCTTCCCGCAAGAAACTCTGTGTCCACAACTGGTAGTGATATCTCCAGCCTCTAAGCCTTCTGCCAGCACTCTTCACACTTGAGTGTGCAAACAAATTGCCTGGGATGTTGGCAAAATGCAGGTTCTGGTCCGAAGCTCTGCAGTGAAGCCTGGGATTCTGCATTTTCAACAACTCCCAGGTACTGCCAGTCCCTGGCTCACAGTTTAAGTAATAAAGTTTTACAGGACATATTTAACTTTGCTCTGTATTATCTGTGTTGCCATTATTTCCACCTACATATTTTCTGTCCCATTAGAAAATAAATTATCATCAGATCTTGAATAGCTGGCTCAGTCTTTTATGCATAGTAAATGCTGGTAGAAGGGTAGGCACGGGAGGAGGCCTTGCCATTAGACTATAATAATTTTTGGACTGGCATAGTTAGCATGTATTAGGGAAAGTGAAGCCCAGAACTCTGGTCCCATAGCCAGGATGTGCAAACAAGTACTCAAAACTTAAAGATAAATGTTGCAAAAGTAGGACTCAGGTTCAGAATTTTACTTAGTCAACCATTTTAAGTATTTCTTATAGGCCCTACTGATAGCATTTACTGAGACAGTTACCTAAAGATTATACTGATAGAGGGATGACATACAATCTAGTTGAGGGAGAAACAAGATGCACACAGATAAAAGATACAAGAAAACCCACAGACCATTCAGAAGCAGAAATTAACAGTGTGGATGATTTTGTTTTTAATTTTTTTATTTATTGACTTGGGGGAGAGAGAAACATCCATTTGTTGTTCCAATTATTTATGCATTCATTGGTTGCTCCTTGTATGTGGCCTGACCAGGGATGAACCCGAAACCTTGGCGTACAGGAATGATGCTCTAACCAACTGAGCTACCCAGCCAGGGCTGGCAGTGCAGATGACTGGTGCTCTTGAATAGTGAGGGAAACAATGACAGGGATCAGACATTCACAGATGGACACTGGATCAGCCAATTTCTCTCTCTATTTCTCTCCCTCTCTCCCTCTTTCCCTCTCTCCCTCTCTCCTCTCTCTCTCTCTCTCTCTCTCTCTCTCACACACACACACACACACACACAGAGCTATAAGACAAAAACTTGGTACATGGTTTTCTAGTACCTCAGGAAGCTCAGCAGCACTGTCTGGTGTACCGAGCCCAGACCTATTCAGACCTGGCCTGTTCTCATCTGCAACTCTGGTTTGAGTTCCTTGGTCACAAAATAAGAAAAACGATGGATTAAGATCCCCATACTATAACCTCACAGTCCAAGCTGTAGAATCTCACTCATACACTCATGCTGGCACACACAGCAGAAAAGTGAAGAAAAACTCCTACACACAATATAGTCCCAGAGTTGGCCCAACCTCCAGTTATACAGCCCTACATGTTCTAACTCCACTACCATTATTACTAGTAATAACTAATAATGATCATTGCTACAAATGATAATCGCTATGCCTGTTAATTATGATGTGAGAGGAACTTTATACATATTATTTAATTGAATGCTTTGGCACTCTTGTGAGGTTTTTACTGTACCCCTTTTACAGATGTCAAAATTAAGATTCAGAGTTTAATAATGTGCTCAAAGGCCACAGCTTCAAACTAATGAAATTAGGACTCAGACTCCCTGGGAACCCATCATTTTTGTGCCTCTCATCAGATATTTGGTCAACAAATATTCAGCAAGTATTTACTATGGAAGAAGTACTATGGTAGTAGCTGAGATCAAAAACTGAGGAAGATATGGTATCTTCCTTCAAGAAACTCCTGGTCTCCTGGCTGGGCGTGGCTCAGCAGCTGAGCATCGACCTAGGATCCAGGCGATCGGGGTTCGATTCCCGGTCAGGGCACAGGCCCGGGTTGTGGGCTCCATCCCCAGTCAGGGGCCTGCAGGAGGCAGCCAATCAATGACTCTCTCATCATTGATGTTTCTCTCTCCCTCTCCCTTCCTCTCTCTGAAATCAATAAAGACATATTTTAAAAAGAAACTCCTGGTCTTACAGAAGCAACAAAAATACCAATTAGGTAGCTTCATAATTGTGTTGGAAATATTGTGTGTAATACAAAGCTCCATAAATCTTTTAAAAACCAGGAATTTGCTACAAAAATTTTAACAGAAATTGCAAATGCAGTATGCACTAAACATGTTACGAATTTTTGCTAATACGTAAGGTATAAACATAGATTTGAAACATCCTTACAGAAGAAATAAACTGGTATGACTGTATGCTTTTTCATAAAAGATTGTATCTCTATTTAAGAGAAAAGCAAAAGAACTAGGAAAATGTATCACATTAACATAACAACAGCTACTAAAATGATTCTCATCTGTTAACTATAATAGATCTGCAATATACTGCAATAATATTTAACATCTGAATACAATCTGGAAATAAATACACCACTAACTGTATTGTTATACCACATATAACAGCTAACTGCTGACCTCTTGTGGCTATTTCAAGAATATCTTTATATCATTACCACTACTGAACAACTTTTACAATACTTTATTCTGGTGATATTGATCAATCTATATTTTCCACAAAGTTCTTAAATACTTAAATAGAACTTTAGACACACAATATTACTGCAAAGGAAAGTCTTGGTATCAAAATGCCAGAATTGAATCTCAGCTCTTAACTTGTTAGCTGACTTGAGTAAGTTAGCAAACTTCGTTGAATCTATTTTAATAAAATGGCATATAGCAGAATTTAGATAATTAACCATCACCATCGTTAATTTAACCTTTAAATCTATAACTGTATCTCTTTCTATGAAAGGTCTTCAGCACTTACTTTCCCTAATGCTTTTCATAAATGTCAACTCATTTCAAACAAGTCATGAGTCAAACATCAAAATACATCCAATGTAGATTTTTCTAAATGAAATCTATTTCCACCTGGCCAGCATGGATCAGTGGTTGAGTGTCAACCTATGAACCAGCAGGTCACAGTTCGATTCCCAGTCAGGGGACATACATGCCTGGGTTTCGGGCTTGATCCCTGGTAGGGGGCCTGCAGGAGGAAGCCCATCAATGACTCTCTCTCATCATTGATGTTTCTGTCTCTCTCTCCCTATCCCTTCCTCTCTCTGAAATCAATTTAAAACCTTTTTTTTTTTTTAATGAAATTTGTTTCCAAAACTTCATTGGCTTTATCTGAGAAGGATAACTTTCTATAGTGCTTATTGTTTTAAATTCATTGAAAAAAACAGAAACCATCCTAGGAAGAAATGTAATTATCTCTATTAAAATACCATTATTATATACTTTTAAAAGAGCAAAAAGGACTTTATAAGAAAAAGTGACTTAGAAACTAGCATTCAGATTTCCTTACTACACATTTCTGGACCTCTTTATAAATTAGAAATCCAAAAATTCCAAAGTTNCCTTACTACACATTTCTGGATCTCTTTATAAATTAGAAATCCAAAAATTCCAAAGTTGTTAGAATAATCACCAAACTCCTAAATTGGTATCAATAGAAAATATTATAGCTCTATATATAATTTACACTGCGTCTTAATATTCATTAAGAAACTTATATGACACACAATTTTCCATTAAGTCAATCCTATATAAGGTCTTAACTCAAAATCTTCCAGAACCTATTTTTCCCCCCAATGGGTAACATTCCAAGGCAACCCTTTGGCACTGCGTTGTTTGAAAAGTCCTAGATCACAACTTAACTTTACAAGCAAACAGAACACTTTTATCTTCAGTTACTCGCTCCATAAACTCACTTGAATTATTTTTTCATTTTCAAGTGGTAATTACATCCCAACATTTTGGGGTTGTTGTTTTGAGGTTAGTGTTTTGGTTTTAGTTATTTTATTGCCATATTACTTTTGTAAATTTTTAATTTACGAAATTAAACTTATATTAACATCTCCAGAACAACATTTCTGAAAACTAAGAAACACAGGGAATACAGACAAATAAATAATTCATCTGTTGAAGCAGTGTAACATTTGTGATTTACATTTCATGCCAATCAGATCTGAATGAGAGAGGTTCCTAATTTAACAATGGGTCCATCCTTCAAATAATTACTTTCTTTGAACTTTACCTCCCTTGGTGACTGATCACATGGCTAATCATGTACAATGATAATGACTTTTCATGTCATTGGAGGAATTTGATTAATTATAAAGGTATTTCTAGTTAATTTATAAGAAATTTGTAAGGAACGTTTAGTTCCCTGAATTTGTCAGAGTGAAAGAAAATTGACTCTTAAAAAAAACTGTTTCTTAATTCATTTATAATTACTTGTACCACTGTCCAACATTCTTCCTTATATACTTGTGTATTTTAAAACTAATTTCCTGAACTATTCCCAATTTATACTTAAATAACTATAAGACCTATACCTAAAGTTAAGTTTTAAAGTTGAGAACTGTTCTCAGTTTTCACCTTGAAAAGTGGGCTCTCCAAGGTTGGAGGAATCATGCTACCTGATGTCAAAGTACACTATGAGGCCACAGTAATCAGAACAGCATGGTACTGGTCCTGGCTGGTGTGGCTCGGTTGGTTAGTTAGAGCATCGTCCAGGAGACCAAAACGTGGCAGGTCTGATTCCCAGTTGGGGCACATACCCAGGCTGCAGGTTCAATTCCTGGTCAGGGCACATACCCAAGTTGTGAGTTCAATCCCCAGTCGGGGCACATGCAAGAGGCAATGGATGGATGTTTCCCTCTCACATCAATGCTTCTCTCCCCCCCCCCTCTAAAATCAATTTTGTAAAAGTGCTTATATAAAAAAAGGAAATTTAGCCCTAGCCAGTTTGGCTCAGTAGTCAGTGTCGGTGCACGGACTGAAGGATCCCAGGTTCGATTTCAACCAAGGGCAGGTACCTCGGTTGCAGGTTCTGCCCCGGTCGGGGCGCAAGCGGGAGGCAACCAATCGATGTGTCTCTCTCACATTGCTGTTTCTCCCTCTTTCTCTCTCTCTCTGAAAAAGCAATGGAAAAATATCCTTAGGTGAAGATTAAAAAAAAAAAAGAAATTTATTAAGTACCTGATACAACACACACCCAAGCGCACACAAGAATGCATACAGGCACAAACCCCGCTAAGTGCACATTTACTCTTTGCACATCCAGCAGCCACCTCCCCTTCTTAAGGGAATATTTACCTTCATAGAAGGCACCAGGGCTTTCACAGTCTCAGCCCTTGTGTTTCAGAAATTACTCTCAGCTCCAGAGGTTTGGCCCAGACCTAACCATCCCCCTAAGCTCAGTGACTGGCTCAAGTGAGCCAATCAAACCAACCAGAGACAATCCTGAGCATCTTGTTTGAATGAATGACTTGGCAAAAGCCCTCCCTCTTTCCCATGGCGTTTTACACCAAGATGCAGAGGGGTGGAGCCGTGGCAGTAATTTTGACTTCATGAGGGAGGGTCTGAAGCTGCCAAGAGATACCATGGGGTGTGAAATTAAATCAGAATGGAGAGAAGAGAAGTCACATCCTGACAATAATGTGAGAACTCCAGATCTAGTCATTCTTGAAGCCAGGATCTACCTCTGGACTTTTCAGTTATAAGACCCAATATATTTCCCTCCACCCACGATTTATTTTTTCCTTAAGTCAGTTGGAGTTCAGTTTGTTGTTTTTGTTGTTTGTTATTTATAACTGAGAGAGTCTTAATTGATAAAGAAGACTGAGATCCTAATGGTGAATGAGAAATACACAGAAATTCACTGCTCAATTGCCCTTATCAGTCATACACCAGGTGTGTTCTTTTCCTTCATATTTCTGATTCATTTATCACAGGGTTTCATTAATCTTATAAATGTACACAACTTTAATGTAATAAACACAATTTAATCAATGTACAGCTAATATATCAAATAATCCATTTACATGTATCATTTTCAAAATTCTTTTCATATATATTTTTCAAATCCATAAAACAAACCTATGAAGAAAATATTATTATAGTTAATAGATGAGAAACAGAAGTTTAGAAACATTGACTTAACTCTAAGTCTTCACAGCTGGTCAGTGGTAAAGGCCAGGTCTTCTTTTCATTATTCTTTATTATCTATATTTTCATTATGCTTTTCATTACTATACAGATACATTATATCATGAAAAGTATCAATGACTATAAGTGCAAGACAGACATAAATATTAAGTTCCATCAAATTAAAAAATATAAGACTTTTAAAAATAGTATAATCTTACCTAACTCAGTATCTCGAATTCCCATGTACAATTCAAGAAGATCATCCACTTTTTCAATTGCCTTGGTTTTGGTCTCAGAGGGCTTTATCAAAGAAAAGAGAAGATATTATACTTGTATATGAACTCTCTTGAATGTCAAGGTGTACACATAGGGGGAGGTCTGAGGTGGAGCCAGCTCATGGTTGTTCACTTCAGCTAGTTTCGGTGGAAATATATCTAGAATGTGCTCTGCAACTCAATACAAATCTATACAGTAAACACTTATTTTTAGTGTCAGTGAAAAGTAACATAGCCTCACTGGTGTTTTTAAATGATAATTCTGGCTCCTGTGCTGAGCACAGAGGGAAGAGGGGCAGGGTGGACACAGGAAGACTGACTATGTTCAAGTAAGACATTGGTGCCTTAGGCCAGAGTGGTGGGAGTGGAGGCGGTGAGTTGTTGGATTCTGGCCTGTTGTGCATGTAGATCCACCAGAATTTGCTGATGGAAGGGATGTGGGACATGACAGAGAACAGTCAAAGATGACTACAAAATGTTTCACCTGAGGAGACTGGAATTCATGCATATTATCTTTCATTATCAAAATCTTAAGTATGTTTACTCCTACAGGTGGCTCTGCAACTTTTCTTGGCTCTCAGAGCTTTGGTTGATAATCTCAAATATTCTGAGCCAGTCCAGATGTCTATAAACTCCAGAAAAAGTTGTCTGTAGGAAGCTGAGGATTGCTATAGATCACAGTCTCTTCTCAGGCTCTTAGTTTCTATATTCCTCCTTAAATCCTTCAATAATGTTCATATCGATTAAGTAGGCAATGAATTAAAGTTCGTGCTTTAATTAGGATGTATGGCATCTCACTTAACCTCGTGGTTTTACCTCTCTTTCCAGCTCTAATAGCCATCAGTGTCCATGCATGTCCAAGCAGAATGGTGACTAAATGAGCATAACCTACCACTTCCTCCACGGTGGCAGGGCCTTTTGATCTCAGGCGAAGTGTCTCCCTTCCAGTACCAATTTTTCCTGTTGAGATATTTCCAGCTTTTGACCTTGGCTCTATTTCTGTAAAGATAAAATAGATTGAGGAAAGGTGTATATATTCAGAAAGAATTCCAAAAGACTGCTGGAAAAACTAATGTGGTTTCCATCACAAAACTATGTACAATTATTGTAGAGATTTGATAAAAGTTATGTCTTCTTATAGGCTTTCCCAAAGCAAATCTACCTGCCATTCATTAGTCTCATAGGGGAGTCTCTATGAGAGGTCTGGCTACAAAAAGAAAAGGGAAATATTTGAAATATACAGATGGGAAAGACTGGAAGCTATAAGGAATAAAAAATAAAATAATTAGCTTTATTTATTTTATTTTTTATTTCTTTAATCTTCACCAGAGGATATCTTTTTCATTGCTTTTCAGAGAGAGTGGAAGGGATGGAGAGAGGGAAAGAAACATCGATGTGAGCGAGACACATTGATTGATTGCCTCCCACATGCACCCCAACCAAGGCCAGGGATCAAGCTCGCAACTGAGGTATGTGCCTTTGGCCAGAATCGAACCCAGGACCCTCAGTCTGCCAGCCGATAGTTTAACCACTGAGCCAAACCAGCCAGGGTTAGTTGGCTTTACTGTAAGAGTAAAGAGGTGTACACAGTGGGAAAGCAGAGAGACAGAGACACTGTTGTTTGAGTACCTACCTTCTGTTTGATGCCTTTTCACAAAATCTCATTTAGTATTCCCACCAATCTGTGAGGCAAAGTATAGCCCTCATTTTACAGAAAAGGAAACTAAACTCGCTAAGGCGCAGAGCTGGGATTCAAATCCAAGTCTTGTGATCCCAAAGTCTGTACGCTTTCCTCAACACTCCAGCACCTCGCCTCTTAGAAGCACAGGGGATAAACTCAGAGGTGACATAATGAGAGAAGCAGGTTCTAAAAAAAAAAAAGGCTGGGAACAGGTTCCATGGAAGGCTTCCCTCAGGGGACAAGCAAGAGACAGGGAGCAGGAGTCCAGGGGAAGCCACTGTTTTCCTTATGCTTCATTTGTGTCTGTTTTATTTTTGGTTTTGATTTCCCAGGTCACAGAGTCGCCCCCCAATACTAAGCAGTAGCATAAGTGAGTGAAAGGGTAGGGTGGGGACTGAGGATAACTGGAAGGGGCACCCCCTACCCAGGCCACGCCAATCCCTTATTCCCTGTGGGAACGTAGGCCTGCGTACTCGTTTGCAAAGAAACTGGATACTCAGAGTTTTTTATGAATCTCCTGATTTTTAAGTTTTGGCCACTGTGTCAAACTTAAAAACACTGTGGTAAAAATAAGAGAGACCTGAGGATCGGATTCCAACCACAAGCCACCAGTTTATAACTTCTGCAAATATCCGCCAAGTCCCCTTGACTGAGGCCTCTATGTGGCAGCAGTTTCGGGCAAGGACAGGAGGTGGGGGGCAGACGCTGCACCAAGAGCTGGCGGTAACTGATCCCCAAGGAGGAATCCCAGGACAGGCCGGTAAATACAAGCAGGTGGAGACCCACTGCACGAACACATTCTTACTGACTCAGGCAGAACCTAGAATAATTCCCATCTTCGACAAGAACTGTTTTGCTATTGAGAATCTACTCCAAAGTGATTAAGGATTTTACGTATTAATTTCGACCTGCATTCAGGGACAGAATTACCAAAACATAAGTTTTCCTCTGAGAAGGAAAGAATTAAAAATGTTCATGAGGTAAAGTAGAGCAGATCCCCAAGGCAAATGCCTATAAATGGTGACTGGTGATGCTAATGCTAATCATGGTGGCCAGAGTCTCAGGAGACCGGAGCTACATCAGCAAGTCTACAGCGCTGGTCTCGCCAGTTACACTGTGTCCCGTTTGAGGAGAATGGATTAACAGAAGCAAGATGCCCAGTATAAATTTTCCAAAAAGGGGCCCAAAGAAACGGACAAGGTCAGTGTGTCATCTGCACCATCCAGGATTCTGTACCGCCCAGCAACGCGAGTGCTCTCAGCTGCGCCGTATGTACACCTACAGTGCTCAAGACGGTGCCAACTTAGTAAATAACCTTATGCTCCTTTACCGCACATACACCACACCACTGAGATTTAACCAAGTGACCTGCTCTGTATGCTTTGTCTGCCCATATAAATTTGCTGCGGGTGGGAAATGAGCTGCTCAGCTAACGTGTGTTTTGGTCCACAGCTACGTATACATTTCCAGTTGTAGAGTGATAGATACACTGGCGTTCTAACTTAGCAACAGGTCTCTTGTAAGTTTGGTGAGCATGAGATAACCCTGGAAAACTGAAGAACTCTGGATACATTGGAAAAAATAAAGAGTTTCTGGGATTTACAAAGCTAAGGACCCAGACTCTGGAATGCGGGAGCTTCACGAAGGGGTTGTCATCCATGCCTGTCATCCATGCCTGTCAGCCGTGTCAGCCAGCTGCCCTCGAGGATGTCTCTATCTTACTTGGCTCTTACCTGCAACACCAGTTGCTCGAAGGGAAAATGTATGTAGAATAAAATATTTTTTTTAATTAAGATTTTTTTAAATCCTCACCTGAGGATATGTTTTTTTTATTTTGAGAGAGAATGATGGAGGGAGGGAAGGAGGGGGGAGAGAGGAAGGAAGGGAAGGAGACGGGAGAGACAAAGATGGGGGGGAGAGAGAGAGAGAGAGAGGGAGAGATACCGATGTGAGAAAGAAACATCAATTGGTTGTATAGGACGACACTCCAACAAACTGAGCCACTTGGCTGGGGCAATAAGCTTTATTTTTTAAAGCAGTTTTAGGTTCCTAGCAAAAGTGAGCAGAAAGTACAGAGGTTTCCCATACATCCCCTACCCACACATACACATCGCCTCCCCCATGACCAACATCCCCCACCACAGCGGCACACTGTCACAATCAATAACCTGCACTGACACATTACCACCTAGTTTAAGTTAAGGTTCACTCTCGGTGGTCCATTCTGTGGGTTTGGACAAATAAGCAATGACATGTATCCACTTTCGTAATGTCATGCAAAATAATTTCACTGCCCTAAAAAATCCTCTGTGCTCTCCTGTTGGTTCCAGATTTCCTGTTGTCACTGAGTTTATGGGGCCTTCCCTTTGAGAGCAGTATCTCACCATCAACCACTTGGTGGCACCAAAGCAGAAGTTAAATTTTAAATTCTGGCTTGAAGGCCTTCATGAAGGCCGTTTTCACCGCTAGGGAAACAGAAGCCATCTTCTCTATGATCTTGTGATTAGGGAATATAAGTCAACCAGTGTATACATGAAAACAGGCAGGATGCTTCTGTTCACCGGTTGGGGGGGCAGGGGGAGAGCTGGCAGGGGGAGCATTCTTTGGTTTTTTAACTTTTTTGAAGATTATGACTATTGCAGTCTGGCCTACTTTGGGGATGCTGGCCTGTCCAAGCATGTCTAAGCAACCAGGCCAAGCCCTAAACCAGTCACCTCACTTCTCATGAACACATCTGCATGGGGCTCTGTGGTGGCTGAGCAGTGAGAGGGATGTGGTCCACACAGCAGACACTAGTAAGCAGCCTGCAGCCAGCCGGATGCACTGGATTCCCAGGGCTCCCCACCCCTGGGAAGCATACTCAGTACCTGCTGCTGCAGGTCGCTTAGGCACAGGACACTCACAGCTGCTCCTAGTCACCGAGAAGCAGTCCTGTATGTTCCCGACCCTTTTATGGCAATTATATCTGTTACTCTAATTATGTAATTTAATTTAGAAGTACAAGAGCTGGTAGGTGTGAAACGAGGAGTTATTATTGCTAGGAAAACTAGGTTAGCTGCTTTAGAAAGACTCCATAAAAGTGAGTTGCAAAAAAAACAATTAGGTGTGGGCAAGATGACGCTAGGAGATTAGAGAAAAAGTACCTTTAAACATCCATCATTTCACATATCTGTGTTTTTTTAAATGCAACCGAACCCATAGATATGCATTAAGGTTGTGATTACATAAGAAGGGTAATAAAGCTCCGATTTGTGTCCTCTGCTCAAAGAAAGGGCCTTTCATATCATGAGAGTGGTAAAAGAATGTATATTTATATATCTTTGAATGTGTATAAACACTTGTATTATTGTTTAGAATACCCCATTTCAACTGGCATTTTCAATAAACAGACCAACCCCCAGTCTCTGCTATATCAGAGAGAAAGGAAAATGGAGACGGCAAAAGATACCTGTCTTTAGACCTCCCTGGGACCCTAGGGAAAGAAGAGGGACAGGAGCCAAAGCCTTACTTTCAGGAGGAACACATGTAACATGACTTAGATCCCCACTGGCCCAGGCTGACACAGTGGGGAAGCTGGGCACTCTTCCACTTCTGCGCAGAACAAGGTCTGGTTCTGGTCCTGAGGTGGTCTGGAGCACAGATCACAGCTTTCACAGCATCATTTCTGACCCCTTCATCCTACATTCCTACTTTAATTGTTAAGCTTAAAAACAGCTGAATGCTGTTATCTACCTTCTACTCATGATTGACATTCATTCCAAATGCTCCTTAAACATCATTCTAAGAAGTCAATCACTATTTAGGGTGAGTGTCTTGGGACATACAGATTACAAAGTTTTTAGTATTATTAATTATGGTGATTGAACTTTTCTCAGATTAAAAACGTGAGCACTTACTAAATTTTGTGTTAATGGGAGTTTACAATGTGGATGAAAAGGGGTTGTATGGAAAGTAACCTCACTGAGTAATCTGATCATAAATTCCTAAATGGGCAGGTCACACCCGAGACATATAGCTTCTTTAGTAAAAGGTTTATCTTGCCTCAAGCAAGCTTTGTCCATTGTTTCTGCGAGTTTAGGTTCACACATCTTTAAAATGCTTCCCATTGCCCAGCGTGGCTCAGCGGTTGAGCATCCAGGAGATTCGATTCCCAGTCAGGGCACATGCCCGGGTTACAGGTTCGATCCCCAGTAGGGGGTGTGCAGAAGGCAGCCGATCAGTGACTCTCTCATCATTGATGTTTCTATTTCTCTCCCTCTCCCTTTCTCTCTCTGAAATCAATAAAGATATATTATTTTTTAAAATAAAATTCCTTCCA